TTCATGCTGCGCTTAAGACACAGAAAAGTCCTTCCCTGCCCCGTAACTATGAAGCTATTCTCTCATGTTGTTCTCTAATGCTCATATAATATTTAGAAATATAACTTGTAAATACTATTTTTAATTGTGGTAAAAATACACGTAGCATAAAGTTTACCATCTTAACCATTTTTAAGCCTCCAGTTCAGCGGCACTAAGCACACTCGCCCTGCTGTACGACCATCACCAGCACCCACCTCCAGAACTTTCCATCTTCCCAAACGGCAGCTCTGTCCCCATTAAACCCTCCCTCCCCAAACCCTCCCTCCCCAAACTCCTCCTGCCCTTGGCAACCACAGGTCTACTTTCTGTCTCGATGGATTTAACTACTCAAGGGACCTCGTACAAGTGCAATCATACAATATTTGTCCTTTTGTGACTGGCTTATTTCCTTAACATAACGTACATAAAATTTTGAAAATCAATAGGTTTTTTAGTCCATCTGAAGTTTATTGTTTTGCGTGGGTATGTAGTCATGATTTAATTGCATTCCTCCCAACAAATGGTTAATCAGTTTCCCAACATCTTGTATGGAATAGACCTTTCTTCTTTCTTTTTTTTTCCACGATCAGCCCAGTCCCATAAACTATATTCTACATGTGAATGCATCTTTTTTTTAAAAAAGATTTTATTTATTTATTTTTAGAGAAAAGGGGAGGGAGGGAGAAGAGAGGGAGAGAAACATTGATCAGCTGCCTCTCCCACACGCCCCGACCTGGGACTGAACCTGAAACCCAGGCATGTGCCCTGACTGGGAATCAACCTGGCGATCTTTTGCCTTCTGGGATGACACCCAACCAACTGGGCCACACACCGGTCAGGACTGAATGCATCTCTTTGAGGTTCTGTTTCCAGTTCCCGTGATCAGTTTGTTAGTATCTATGCCAGGCCCATGCTGTTTCGACTACTTTTGCGAAGACTTCGCGCATCCTAAGACGAGGGTCCCACTCAGGCTTAGTCAGCCTTTTAGCTGCTCCCAAGAACATGGGACACTCCAAGGCTTCCCTCACCCTCTCCCATCTCTCCGTTTCCCAAGGGAGCCTCGGATGCAGGGGTCTCACTTGGCACAGGTCAGATGATAGTCCTGAGCACAGCCACCTGCTGTGGGGCTGGGGTCACTAGGAGGTCGCCCCTCCCCCAAAAGATTTGGACGGGAGCGTAGGTGCTCGAGGGTGGCTTGGATTTCTCTGCCTACAGTGGAACCTTGCCAGGACCCAGTTCATTGTCAGGCAGACTTCGAGATAAGACAAGCCACTCTTGGTTCCCCTCCAAGGACATTTGGTACTGACATGCACAACAGAATCGAAGTTCCTTCCAGAGGGGTCCCCTGTGTTTCAAGGGAGTGTGATGACGTTGCTGGGGCTGCCTCTCTGGGCTATTGCCAGGACATTGAAGCAAGAGCCCGGGCCCGTCGGGGCAGGGCTGGCCGGCAGGCGTGCGGGCACGCAGACTTCCCATGGCCCCCCGAAGGCTGTGTGGAGCCCTGGGCCTCGGGTTCCGCAGACCTGGGCACGCACGCTGCTTTCTCAGGGTCGGAGGTGTGGGCAGAGAGTGGGGAGTGCTGGAATGTTCACGAATCTCCTGCCATCTCAGGTCAGATGAGTCAGGTCACACCCACCACCGAGCTCCCTCTAGGTTCCTGTAGGAGGTGGGAGGAAGAAGCTGGGCCAGCGTGGAGTGGAGCTAAACTGGGTGGGGCTTCTTGGGGAGCAGTGGGCGCCCTCTCCCCGACCCCGGTGCCTTGGGGCAGCAGGTGGGGGTGGCCACCTGGGGAGCCTGGCTGCATTTGGTACAGGGCCCTGGGGGAGGAGCAAGCTGGGATTGTGGGCTTGGCAGGCCAGCTCCTCAGGGAGTCCGCGGGGCGGCAGAGTGACAAGCCAGCGGAAATACGGTGCTTCCCAAGCTGCAAGCATTTGCATCCCGCCTTCCCAGGTTTCCAGTGTCCGCATCCCTGCATCGGTCATGGCGTACTATATGCGTGCGCACACACAGGGATATATTCAAACCCCTTTTGTTTTAAAATTTTATTTATCTATTTTTAGAGAGAGGGGAAAGGAGGGAGAGAAAGAGGGAGAGACACGTCAATGTGTGGTTGCCTCTCATGTACCCCGCTTTGGGGACCTGGCCCGAAACCCAGGCTCTAGACTGGGAATTGTACAGGCGACTCTTTGGTCCACAGGTCGGCGCTCAATCCACTGAGCCACACCAGCCAGGGCCAAACCACTTTGTAAATGTATGTAAATTTAGCATTGTTATGAACAATAATATCTGTGAACAACAGCCATCACAAGCATCACTCAGAGATCATTTATAACAGGCCGGACAGTGTCCTGGGCATTTTAACTATATCAACTCAGGCAGTACCAGCTCCTGGAGGGAGGTTCCCCACTGTTATTTCCCCCGTTTAACATATGAGGAAACTGAGGCACAGAGCGGTGATGTCACCTGCTGAAGGTTGCACCGACCCAAACCCAGGCCTTCTGGCTCCAGACCCCAAAATTGGCTGCCTCTCAATTCACAGGTCAGATATGAGGTAGGCTGAATGTTTCTCTCCCAAGACACGTTAATAAATTACCAATGATATGTATACATATATCAAAGTAAAAAATGTTCATTTAGCGTGCCACCTGGTTCTTCCTGTAAACGCCCAGTCTGTGGTCGCCCGCGCCGGCATGGGTCTGCCCAGCAGGGACGAGGTGTGCACCACGTCTGTGCAGGAGCTAAGGCCACGCCCCCTGCACGGAGAGACCAGCGAGACCAGTGTCCTTTGGACACACCCTGTCCACCTGGGCTGTCAGCCCCGTCAACGTTTGTGCCCGGTTGCCCCCTCCCAAGCCCCCACGGGGACAAAGAGTGAGTGTGCTGGGGCAGAAGGTAGGAGGAGAGAAAAGCCAGGCACCCCAGGCCCATTAGCCACAGAGAATCCTGCAGAACCCAGCAATTCCCTGCCTGTTGTGTGGGATGCAAAGTCACCAAATTCTGTCACGGCCACTTTCCTGTCATCTGGTTCTCAATCAAGCCCCTGGCCTTGCTTGCTCCTGAGGTTCTTTCTCCGTTATGTCTGTGAGTAGCAAGTTGAAAGCTTTGGATGAGCATAGAAGAAACAGGTGGCCCTCAGCACCAGGCAGCAACACATAGCCTGTTGTGTGGTTTTAGCTGGAAGTTACAGCATCGCTCGTGGCTCATGATCAGCTTGCGGCATCCCAGGGCACGTTCCAGTCTCCTACCCTGTCCTGAGTTGCTTCAGCCCATGTTAGAGTGACACTTGAGAGCCGATTCCATCTTCTCCTGAAAGTGACATGTCAAATGGGGAAGGATAGGCTTTTTCCATGGGCCTGGGGCCACAGACCCGTCTGATGGGCTGGGCACCTGGGCTCGCGACCCAGGTGGCCTGGGCTCTGGGCCTCCTCGGAAAAGGTGCCTGGTCCTGCCCTCTGCGCCAGCTGGGGGGTCTCGAGCAGGTGCCTCTGGGTTCCAATCCCGCCATTGCTCCGAACCAGCTGGGTGGCCCAGGCCAGCCAGTCCGCCCCTCAGAGGCCGGATCCCTCCTCCCTGACATGGGAATAGCACTTCCCGCTTCGCAGCATTGCCGGAAGGGTAGAATGAGTTAGGGGATGAAAAGGGCTTGGCCCCCCAAAGCCATCGGAGAAATGCGGGGGGACAGTGCAGTTGGGTGGGCAGCCCCGTGGGGGCTTGCTTGTGGGGGTTGACTTGATTTCCCTCCGGCCTTTATGAACCCCTGCCCCCCGGCCAGACTCTCTGTCGCCTGGCACTTGGCGGCGACTGAGCTAAATGGAGCCCCAGCCCCCGTGCACCTAAATGCCCGATACCCTGGATCTGCAGTGACGTACCTGGGTCTGCGGAAGGCCAGCCCTTCTCAACTTTAGAGAGTCACCTGCCCTGCAAAACTCAGACAAACGCGCAGGTGCACAAGGTACCCAACATTTGCAGACAAGTCTGGGGGTCCTGGGGCCCCCAGCCACTGTCTCCATTCTCCTCTCTGTGCCTCTCCTCACTCCCTAAAGACGGTGCCCGCAGCAATTTATGCTTATTCTATGTTCTCCTCAGCTCCCAGGGGCGCCTGTGAACCGGCGTGAAATGCTCTCTTTAAAAGCCTAATTATTTACACTGACAGTATTTACTTTTGACTCCAGTGGCTGAGTCAATATCATTTTTCCTCTCCTGTCCCTTAGCTCAAAAAGCCAGGAGCTTTACAAAACCCACCTGACTGTATCTCTTGATCCACGCGATGGCCTTTGAAATTTCACCTGCTCCGGGAATTAAATTACGGAGGCCGCGGAGGTCGAGGAGAGGCCAGGGTGTAGGACTGTATATTTGTTGCTGCCTGACACCGACGCCTGCCTCTTATCTGTGCACAGCTTTCTGCCTCCAGTGTTTTAGACATGCAACCACGCAACCCCGCTTGGCACCCTCTCGCTTTGTTTCCAAAGTCCTCCCTACCTATGACCTGAGGCATTGCCCCAACAGTGTGGGAGGGTGGGCATTTCCCCCGAGCCTGTGACCACCAGGGAGTTTCTGCACAGGCTGTGACTGAACCAACCCTCTTATCTGTCCTCCGGATCGCTGCTCGGCTGAGTCTTTCGGGCTACACCCTGCCAGAGGGCACCCTGTACCCAGAAGTGAGCTTCTGGGCACTGGGCTGCATTCAGCAAACTGATTTGTTCAGTCCTATCTATAATCAGATGCCAGGGGCCGATGAGAGTGATAATGCCTTCTTTCTTTTGCAATCCCAGACTTGATCGAAACGGGAGATAAAACAAGGGAGAGGTGTGGGGCAATCTTGCACTGGCTTCCTGGACACTGGCGAGGACACCCAACCCATTTTTCTTGTCGAACAACATGTAACTCCTTTGCTGATCGTCCTGTAATTAGCCATGTTCACAGCCTTCTCTGTGGCGTTGCTGCGCAGGCTAACCCTGACCTACTTAGGAACAATGACCGGCAATTAGCAGCCAATCGCTGGAGGGCGATGGTCCTTGGACACCATCCCAGGCCTTTCTAACTCTACAAGTAAACGGCACTTGGGTCTCTAACCCATTCTGGAATGGAGAGCACCTGCTGTTCCCCTGAGAGTATTTCCTCCTACCCTTGACTGTGGGCTCAGCAAACTGGTTTGTATTTGCACATCCCTCTCTTCTCACTTTTTCTCCCCAACGGAGCTGCCCAAAGCCTCAGCCCGTGTCTGGCCAACTCGTCTCTGAGTCCCCAGAGCCTACCACCGTGCCTGTGACAATGTGGAACGAATGAATGCTGAGGAATGAGTGCACCTCAGCACCCATGCCCCGGGCTGCTGACAGTTCATTTCACGAGTCTACTTCTTGTCCTATCCACAGCTGGCTCCTCTCCAGGCCTCAGGACAAGTTGAAATCCAGAAGCTGGAAGGAAACTGCCAAGTTTGATCCCAAGGTATGGGTACGGCTGTTGCCATGGGTAGGGGGGCCTGAGGCAATGAGCGCGGTACATGTGATGCGTCCAGAAAGCCCTGCAGGGCACGGTGAGTGAGGACGCTTAATGCCAGTCCATGGGATCGTGCAGGCAGCACGGCGGCGGCAGGGGAGGGTGGCAGAGCTGTGCCGGCGGGTCATGGGGGAGGGGATGGGTTCTTTGGGGCCGCGATTTTCAACCGGTGGGCTGCCAGAAACATGCACTGCCTGGCTGGTTAGTCAGGGGCACGGACCTCTTTCCCCTTAGGTTGTCAAAGAAAAAAATGACAACAGTCGACACCACAATAGCTGTCTGCTGTGAACAAATCAAAAGGATACCTATTTTTTTTTGTCAGAATGACGAAACATACAGAATTTTTTTTTTTTTTTTTTTTTTTTTTGGTATACCACAGGATTTTAGTTTATGTGTCATGAGATGAAAAATGTTGGAAATCACTGCTTTGGGGTTATGTCACAGGTTCAATGAGTGTGTGTTTCCAAATACTAGGAGGGAGGGGAGAGAGGGAGTAAATGTAACATATGTATATATGTATGGACATGGCTGTATATACACACCTATCTAAGTTGTCTTGTACACATGACTGCTATGTTGTCCCCCCAAAATTCATATGTTGAAACCCTAACTCCCGGTGCGATAGTATTAGGGTGTAGGGCCTTTGGGTGGGATGGAGGTCAGGAGGGTAGAGCTCTCTTGAGGGGGATTCGCGCTCTTGTCAAAGGGACCCCACAGTGCCCCCTCGCCCCTCCTGCCGCGCGGAGAACGCAACAAGGAGTCTGCGACCCAGGGGAGAGCCTTCACCCAACCATGCCGACACCCCGATCTTGAACTTCCAGCCTCCAGAGCTGTGAGAAATAGTCTCTGTTATTTGTAAGCCACCCAGACTATGGGGTTTTTGTGAAGGCAGCTGGGACAGACTAGACATGACCATTTTCTGAACTATTCTTCAATGAGGTTGGGCTATTGGTCGGAATCTCAGCAGCAAATAGCTTCCCACTGAGCCGGCTCAAAGGTCCTTCGGTTGAGACCTGCTTTCAGGCACGGGAAGGGCATGACCAGGGGAAGGCAGCAGCCCAGAGACCGGCGGGGCCGCAGGGCGCGCTTTCAGCCTGCGCACGTGAAAGGCCAGGAGAGGAAAGGGGGTGTCAGAGCTCTGCAGGAGCAGGGCCCTGCTGGGACAGCTCCGCCCACGGGGAGCTCCGCCCACGGGGAGCTCCGCCCCTGGGAGCTGTAGGCTTGGAGGGACAGGCTGCTGCCCCGAGCAAGAAGAGAGCAGAGAACAGACGTTCTGTCCTCGTCTCTCCCTCATCTTTGTTGGAGCCTCCCATTGGCCAGCTGGGAGCCGGGGCCCATGGATGCCAGGGTGTGCGGTCCCTGGCGTCAGCCCCGCGGGACACAGGGCAGGGCAAAGGAGGAGGACAGGCTTCAGGGGCAGGCCAGGGGGAAGGTGGCAGCACAGCAAGTTGACAGTGAAGATCTAGCCTGGCCCTGGAACCGAAGTCCACGCTGGCTGTGAGGGACGTTGCTGGCCACCTTCCTCTGTGGGCCACCCATCCGGGTGATCTTCGTAGCACGCAGTAGGTTCCCTGTTCATTCCTTTAAGCCTTTACCTACTAGGTCTAACAAACAGTCTATTCCATTAGCTACTTCCATATGTCATCTCATTTAAATGCAGCACAGTGCCTGGCATATAGGTGCTCAATAAATATTTCTTAAACAATGACTGAATGAATGAACTACTAATAAGTAAACTATGGGCGTGAGCTGGATGGAGGGGGGCAAAAGAGGAAAAATTGGGACAACTGTCCTAGAATAACGATAAAAATTTTTAAAAATTTGTTATTTATTAAAAATAAGTAAACTACAAGTGGTTATAAATCACCGACAGAATGGGCACTGGGAAGCCTGTTTGGCACAAAGGGTTCTGGGAGGTCAGCTGACCAGCTGAGTCCACTCCGCCACTCAATGTGTTCGGCAAATATTCACTGAGTTCTCCCTATGTACCAGGAATGTTTACATTTGACTGGGACAAACACTTCAACATATATATGCCATTAACAGCTAAATGCTACAGGGACAAACACAGCAGAATGGCCGGGAGGAAGTTCTGGGGATGGGGTGTACTTTTATAGCTCACGTGGTCAGTGGCGGCCTGTCTGATTGATGCAGAGGGACACGGAAGACTCAGGAGATGAGGACAGGTCACGTGGCTCTTCGGGACGAGAACACTCCTGGAGGGGAAAGTGGGCACAAAGGCTCCGAGGCAGGAACGTGTGTGGGGCGGTTGGGACAAAGCCAGGAGACCCGCGTGGCTGGGGCGCAGGGTGACGGCCACCGGTCCAGCGAGATGGACGCTCCAATCTGAAATGTCAGCCTCGCCCGTCCTCCCTCAGCTGGAGCCCTCCGGTGGCTGGTCGCTGGACCTGGAACGCCCTGCGTGACTCACACTCGTGGCCCGGGCCTTCCCACAGCCAGGCTTTGCCCCTGCTGTTCGCTCTGCCTGGGGCACCGGTCCCACTGCTGCCAAGAAGGCTGTTGACCGTGTTCTCTCCCCTCACCTGGTCTGCATGCCTGTCTGCTCGGGCGTCAGGGTGCCCCTGCCCTGCCTCGAGCTTCCGGAAGGCACGGACCTCCTCGGCTTCGGTGCGCAGAGGGCGCTCTGTGCCTGGAGCGGTGCCTGGCCCGCAGTGGGCCCTTGGTGAACATTGGTTGAAGAATGACAAATGAATGAAAGAACGAAGAAGTGACTGAGCAAGTGACCTCGGAGGCCCCAGAGTGGCACTCGGGAGAACACATTGTTTCCTCCATCTTTGAGCCTATAGGTTTTCTTGTGAGACCTCAGGCTCCCTCGGGCAGGCCTGCAGCAGCGGTCCCCAGGGGGGTCAGTGACCGGAAGGGCAGAGCTGCGGGGTCCCAGCGAGGGTCCTGGGACAGATTTCTTTGGCACTTACCCCACCTTTTCTCCCACATGTTTTCCATGCCTCCTCACTGCCGGTAGCTCCTGGAGTCGCGGGGGCAGCCACCGCGGGCCCAGTGTATCAGCGCACTGCGCAATGTCCCCGCAGCACCCCAGCCCTGGCTGAGTCATTTCCCCTTTTAGGACAAATGAACGAGCAGGCAGGACACTGCCTGCTTGTAGAGCCCAAGGCGGACATCAAGGCCCTGCTGCCAACCTCGGGAGTGGGCACTTTGCGAAACACAGAGTCTCCGCCCTCCACAGCGGGAGATGTCCCATGCGACGCTTCGGACCACGTGGAGTCCCGCCCACGGCTTCCGGGGGCGTGACATGCGAAGCAAACACACGTGCCAGGATGAAGTGCTGGTGCCACGATGGGCCTGGGCCTGGGTCCCACTGCGGGCCCCCACCTCTGTGCCTTTGGCAACACACCTCATCCCGGGGCTCGGGCAAATAGGCCCAAGGAGGCTAGGCCGTGGAGCGGCCGGGGTTTACCCGTAATCTCTGTTTTGGAAGTAATTAATCTTCGAAAATATGAGCCTCTTTGTGGTAAAAAGCACACGCTGATACTTTTGTGTAAACACCCAGCTTAGCATATTGACAAACTGGTGACTGTTACTTTGATCCCAGGCTGCAGGCTCAGGCTTCGGGGCTGCCCCGCCAGGCACAAAGGCGACTCTAATCCCTTCGACACTCGGGTCCATATATAGAATTCAGAGTCTTTATTTTCTATATCCACTTAAGCTCTGCTTGGGGTTTGTTTAGTAACCGTCCTCCGTCTTCGCACTGGCCGGGGACTCCTAAGTTCATTTTCCCAGCAAGGCAAGCAGCGAAATTCCAAAGTAGCAAATGACCTGAATGAAAACCCTTAAACTCACATAGATTTAATCACTGCGGCAAATTGGAACCATTTGTGGTCAGGTTTTGATGGCGATCTATAAAGATTGGCCCATGCCCCCCTTCACTTTCTTTTTAAGTGGCTTAGTTAAGGTTAGTGAGAAAAGGACACATCCATGCCAAGGTCCGCGGCGTGGGGGGAACGGACTTAAATTGTTTCTTCCTTTTGGCTTCAGGGACGTGGGCGGTCACCTGGGGTAGCTTCCGAAGCCTCACGGAGCAAACTTCGGTGGCGGCCAGTGACTCCCCCACCCATTTCAGCGGTGCCACGCTCGGTGCCGCGAGTTCCCGCTGGAGGTTTGGGGCCCTTTTAGGAAAATATTGTGCTTTGTGACTTTTGTTGCCTCTAGGTACCCTACGAAGGCAAAGGAAAGGTCAGGACTCCCCCCTGCCCCCCCTAAACACAGAAGGAATCGAACCTGATCTGTTATGATTTCTCCAAACAGATGAGCTTTAATGAAGACGCCGATCCAGGACTGAGGCCGACCCAGGGAGCACCGCGAGGGCGTGGGATCTGTTTCTGATAAAATCGACATTGAGGTTTTGAAGAATGAATCAGAAAGGAAGTTCAATTCCATTTCATGACTGGGCTGAACTAAATAGAAAGCCCGTCTGTCATTAAAGAGAGATTTCTTTCTTCTTTTCCTTTCTTCTCTTCTCTCTCTCTTTTTGGTTGTTCTTTGACAATATTTTTAGAAATTTCTAGAATTGGTCCTGCTCTCCACAATCGGTTGGTGGAGGGGCGGGGGTGGTTCTCGAGAACAGATGGGAAACTGAATTCCCAAAGAACCCAGCAACATATTTTACTGCACAAATTATGGAAAAAGTTACCCAATAGGGTCCCCCCTACCTTTTTCTTTTCTCCATCCCTAGTTTCTATGATTATAGTCGGAGAGAAAATTCAGGCTGAAAGAAATTTGATATTTATTTTCTGTGAACTTTAATAAAGAAAGTGGTGGGTTTGGGACTCTTTTCTTTTTTTTTTTAAAGGTCCCTTGAACAAGTCAATTTTTAATTTTTTTTTTAACAGCACCTTTTGGCATAAAGCGGCCGGGGTGTGATTGATGGAGTTGCTAAGAGGCTGTGCTGAGAGCCACTCCCGGCAGGTTGTCTAGAGACTTTGAAGAGGCTTTTGATTCTGGGAGCCCGCTCTTCCCGGGACCTGCGCTCACCCAGGCAAGCCTTTTAAAATGTTTCGAGCCCGAGCCTTCCTTGAAGTCCGTGTTTGTTTGGGTTTGCGGAATCCCCTTCCTTTCTTCAACATTCTCAGATGTCCCCAGTTTAGACCGAGTGATCAGCCGTAATCCACTCCAGTCCAGACCAGGAATGGCCCGCTTTGGTCATGAGCACATAACACAACTGACTTCAGCTCCCCGGGCCTCCGCAGTGAAAGGCAATCCCAGACGCTCCGCGATGTCTTGGGAGATAAGCGAGACCCTCGGCCCGGGTGCCCCCAGCCCTGCGGGGGCAGGAGTTTTCCTATACATCACGACGTCATTATCAGCCTGCGACCGAGCGGCCAGCGTCCACCGCATTTTCCACAGGGCTTGGTGGTGTTAAGAAAATACCCCTCCAGTGCGGTGTTATTTTAGGCTGAAACAAAAGTCGACATGAATGGCCGGGGGGGAACAGAAGGGACATTGTTCTCCCTGTGACCGGGTGCTCAGAACTGGCCTGAAACTGGAATCCAACAAACAGAGAAGTAAATGCCATCACGTACAAATGGGCTATCGAGTGTCCGGCGGGATCAATTGAGCACAGAGGGCGGCCAGGCCGGGGACTTTGCCAGTCCCTGGGTCATGGGAAGTTTGGTTTCCAGAGCAGAGGCCAAAAGTGTCACCTGATTCGTGACCATGTGATGACTGACTGGGAGAGGAAGCCACCTGCTTGTGTGAGAGAGAAGGAGAGAACACAAATGCCACCGCTGCAAAGAAGGGTCCCATTGCTCTGGCCGGGGAGCTCAGTTGGTTGGAGCATCATCCGACACACCAAATGGTTGTGGGTTTGATTCCCGGTCAGGGCACATGCCTGGGTTGCGGGTTCAATCCCGGGGGAGGCAAGAGATCAATGTTTCTGTCTCACATCAGTGTTTCTCTCTCTCCCTTCCTCATTCTCTAAAGGCAATAAACATATCCTTGTTTGAGGATTAAAATTAAAAAAGAAAAATTATCCCACTTTATCTTCCCAGCCATCCTAGGGGGCGGGCGCTATGATTTTTCTTATTTATTTATTTATTTTTATTGTTCAATTACAGCTTACATCCAATATTATTTTGTATTAGTTCCAGGTGTACAGCGTAGTTATTATTTGCCCCTTATAAAGATGAGGAAACGGGGGCAGAGCGCGGTCGACTCGCTGGAGGGTCAGTCACACTGTGGCCGTGCCCAAGAGCCAGGAGTCCTCGCGAGGGGTCCCGGCTCCAGCGCCCACACGCCACTGAGCTCCGCCCGCTCGCCTCGCTCTCATTTTCCCTGCCTTCGAGTTTCCCACTCACGGCACCTGGGTGAAGCGGCCCTGAGCCCTTAGCCCTCACCACGTCAGCGCGAAGCTGGTGGCCTGCCTTCGCCTGCGCCCCCTTTCTCTCTTTTTTCCTCTCTGCGGGAGTCTGCTGCGCCCATTTGCGCAACAGGCCAGGAGTGCCGGGAGATGAGCATCCGCGAGGACTGAGGGCAACTGTGAACAGACACCCCAGCTCCCTGCCGGCCTTGGGGAAGGCACCGGGAGGAGCGCGCTCTGAGGGGGCCCCAGCGCTCCCCAGTGGGATGAGCTCCGCTGCCCAGTGGAAACTTGCTGGAAGGTGCATGCCTTATCGTCCCCCTTCCCCACCCCTCCCTGACTCTCCTGGGGTTTCCTGGCGTTGCCTTCCTAAGGCCACCTTCCTTCGAACCCTTGTCTCTAGAGCAGCTTCTGCAGGAACACACAGCAAGCCCGCCAGGGGACCGTGACCGTCGCCCTCATCAAACTGCGAGCTGCACAACAGCTTACCCTCGTACCCCTGGGGACGAGCTGACTGTCTGGCCTGTAGTAGGTGCCAAGCAAATACTTAACGAAATGGAAGGATTTGGAAGTGGAAAATCCCTTTCCATCTAAGTTTATATTTAGTTTATCCTCTTCTTAATCAATATTCCATTTAAAGTCATTTTTAACCATTCATTCTTTTTATTACTATTGAATTTATTAGGGAGGCATCAGTTAATAGAATCATATAGGTTTCAGGTACGCAGTTCTATAATATACCGTCTGTATATTGTATTGCGTGTCCGTCACCTTGAGCCCAGTCTCCTTCCATCGCCATTTATCTCCACTTTGCCCTCTTCTGCCTCCCCTACCCCCTTCCCCTCTTGTAGTCACCCTACTGTTGTCTGTGTCCATGAGCTACCGAAGACTCATAATCATTCATATTTTACTGAAGAGTTCCTTTCCTCAGGTGTCTCATAGGGAGGGTGGGGACACGGTCCCCTTCTTCTCCTGTATCTGGCCGAGAGCTGGGAATGAACCAGCTTCTGGCTCAGGGGCAGATTAAGACCTTTGGAGGTTGTTTCGGAGAAGGGCCAGCCATTTACCGAACCGAAGACCTTCTCCGACACTGTAGCTCCTGATCTTACCTGCAATGCGGTGTGCCATGTGACTGAGTTGCAGCCAGTGGAATCTGAGCAGACACGTACCTCCTTCAGCTCAGCCTGGGAACACTTCCCACAGGCAAGCCTCCACGTTGTCCCCTTCTGCAGCTTGATGCCAGTGAAGATTTGGGAGCCACAGGCTGAATACAGCGGAGCACACCACACAAAAAGCCCGGGTCCCTGAGCCACCACTTGGGGCAGAGCTGTGCGCTGACCTGGAGCACCCCTATCAGATTTTACTGGTGAGAAATAATTTTCTGTTGTGTTTGGACCATCATGCATTTTGGGGGTTTGTTTGTTATAGCCGCAGATATGACCCTAACTAATACTGAGGTCCTAGACACTGACCAGAGTTAGTGTCCTTTGCCACTCGTAAAATAAGTACTAAATGTGTCCATCAAAACTCCAATTTTCTGCCTGATAGCACCTCTCATTTAAAAAAATAGTAAAGCCTTAATTTTGGGGGAGTAGAGGGATTGAGTAATGATTAGCTTTACTTGTGCCCTGAGTTACTTGTTTATTCTGCCTCTTAGGTGCGGCCACGGACTCTCCAGAAAGTCTTGTCTAACAGGCCAACGCACGAACCCCTCCTGGAGAAGAGCGAGCGGGTAAGTTTATTAAAGTTCAAGAGCACTGCGGCTCCCTTCGGAGGCCCAGGCAGCTGCTCTTGCTCCCCAACAGGCGCCAGCAGCAACGGTGACGCGTCCTTGGGTTAAGAGCAGAGACGTCCGGACCCCTCAGACCTGCCTTTCAGCTTCACACTTTGGGAAATGTTCTCCTAAGCTTCCTCAAAGCCCAAAGGGAAACGCAGACAAGCTACCACCAGGAGGCGCCCCCGCCACCACCTCTGCAGAAAGGAGCTGCGAGTGTTAGAAAAGGTCACGGTTTCCACGGAGCCAGCAGGCCAGGGTTTGACTCCTGCATCTGTCTTCTCCTTGTTATTGTCCCTTTTACGGGTGACACAGAGACTGATTCCTGAACCTGCATCGTGGCCCAGTAGAGCTCTCCTGACGCCCTGAGAAGTGGCCCCTTCACCGCAGCGGCCTAGGCAGAGTGCGCCACGTGGGGAGGAAACCGCGGGCTTCGCCCGGCTGGAAACGCACTCTGCCTCCCCGGGCCGGTGCCTGAGGCTCTCTGTGCCCATCCCTTTATACGGGAGTGGGGATTGTACCGTGTCTACCGTGTGGGTCTGTTGCAGGGCTGAATTGAGATACTGTCTATGAGACACTTGGGACAGTGTCTGCACATGGTACTTGCATTGGACGTTGGTGGCACTTAGTGGACCCCATCCCTGTGGCCAACAGCACTTTCTGTTAGTGTCCCCGTGAAGAAGCAGGTGATTGTGGTCTGAAGATGTGTTTGGGACCTGGCCTGTGAGGCGAAGGGTACCTGGGGTCAGGCGGGCCACATGGAGCCTTTGCAGCCTCCAAGGGTCACGCATCAGCACGCTTTGGCCTCCGGGGCAGAGCCCTGGCGCTCTGTCCTTGGGATGGGCCACCGCCAGAGGAGGGTCTCACCCCTCCGTGAACAGGCACAGGGACCACCGAGCAAGAGAGAGGCACCCCTTGCTAATAGCTGGGCTCGCAGAGGCTGTTTTTGGGGTGGGGGGCATTGGGGAAGAGCGCAGGAGGCTGTGGTCTGAGTCGATCCTCCATGCGGAAGCAAAGGTGGCACTTCTCCTGGTCAAGGACGTGGTCTTTGGAGACATACACACCTGACCACGCATGCTGCTCGGCCTCTCACGTCTGTCGCCCTCTCTTCCTCCGTTTCCTTGTCTGTCGAACGGGCTGTTGACAGTCTGTCTCACAGGAGCATTGTGAGGACCAAGTGGGATAAGGCTGGACCTACAGACGCTCTGCAGAGTGAAAGCGCCCCATGCGTTTCTGAAAACATTTTTTTCCCAAATGTAAAATAGGCACAGGACTTAAAAGATGCTAGTGATACCAGAGGTTATGCACTGAAAAGTAACTCTGTCTCCCTCTCTCGACCCCCAGCACCCCACAGGGTGTGTCTGGAAGCAACCGTGGTGATCAGTATCTTATGTAAACTACCAAAGACTCTCCATCCACGCCAGCATGGAAGTGACACATACATAGATAGGACTTACATACATGAACATTTTGATTTATAAAAATGGCAATGTCATATGGTTCAAGCTAAACGGCATGTATGTGTATGCATGTATATA